AAAGGGTGTGATGTTGATGCAAGAAGTATAAAAGCTTTCCCTATACTTTCAATAATCGAGTTGAATATTAGCATGACTCTGGATGCAGGAATATTATAAAATCATTCACCTGACTTAGCATACTGTTCCATTGTAGGATTCAACAGCTTGGGTTCATGTTTGATTTCAGGTACTCTGTCTAAACGTCTAAATATTTCTTGTCTCAGTGACTGAAAAAGTAAGAAAAACATGAAATTGTTTGACAGGGCTTCTTTTAAAATACATTTGTAACAAAAGAATCACTGGGTTTCTATCAATATTGAGTAGATTGTTTTATCACACACCCGTGCCGATTTTGCGACTCTGTAAAAATGGTATTGCACGGCCGTGCATATATTTTGACGTGACGTCATTAGCGTTATACAACATAGTGTAAAGACGCGCTAAATGTTAGCGTTAAACTAAAGGCGCGTCAATGAAAAATTACTTTTATTTCACTTTAAACAGTCTTTATTTTGGGTTTGTGATAAATAGAATATTAAATATGTGTAAGTTCATTACTGAATTTATTGCACTCGCTGAATAAAATAAACAAAGGCTCGAATAATATAATTTTATTCAACTTGTGCAATAAATTCAGTATTGAACTTACACTCATTAAATATCCTCTATATATGCAGTACATGCACTGTATTAAGACCTACTTTTGAGTTACCATATTTCTCACATTCAAAGGATAAGTAATTTATCTGCCCTTTAATAGGATTGAGTGGTCAGGGACATCCCGTCATACCTTACATCAAATGTATATGTATCATGTTAAACTGTATTCTCACATCATAGTACATTATTACATTAACTTATATAATTTACTTTCTATTTTTTATAGAACATAAAGATTAGGCAAAAGGATGCTTCTGCTCTGTCGACCAAAAGCTATGAACTATAATGTAGTTATTATGTAGTTCAAAAGCAAACCCCCAAAGCTTAGGGATTTTTCCCCCCTTTTCTGTTACATTCCCTTTTCTAAAAAATAAATAAAAAAGGGACAAAAACTTGACTTAAATTTAATTTTTTGAAATTTGAAGTTTGCTTTTACAGTTATATTATAAATCTAAGATACCATATATATAGTAGTACCTTTGGTACATTTGAGCCAATAGAAACGTATGGTCCTCTCCTAGACTTGAGTGTGAATCTCATGATCTGCCGCTTGGCAAACAGGAAAAGTAGAACAAAAATCTGTAAACATAAAAAATGAGATAATTATTAACATTTTACATTCATATTGTAATTGTGTATTTTTTCAAATTATATGTATGAAACTATATACATACAAATTTTTTAACAGCTGAATAATTTATGCATATGTTTAACTCACAGAAAGTTTAAATTTAAGAATACAATACATTGTACTTTGAAAATAATTCACTTCTATATCACATAAAACTTAAAATAAGTTTTGATCATCAAAAGGACAGATGACATTGAAAACAACTTCAATATTTTAACTACAACTGTAAGCCAGTTGAAATGTATTACATTTTTATAATGGTTGGTTTTTATGTCACACCAATGGCAACTTTCCAGCTTTACTGGTTGAGAAAGACCTCAATTGCTCCTCTGTCCATAATGTCAGGAACAAACAGGCACCTGAGTAGAACCACCAGCATTTTGTAAGTTAGCTAGACAGCTTCCTCACATGAAAGAATTCAATTAAGACCCTGAAGGGATTCGAACACATTAGGTGAGGAGAAAGTGGTTTAAAGTCAACCATCTGGCCTAAGACCACCCTAATATTTTTTTTTTATTTTCATACAAAATGTAATACTCATTATTCTAACACGACCCGCATTTTTCTCTATTGAACATAGAAGAACCGAAAGTGTGTGTTATTATGCTATAAAATCACTGTTTGATGTTCTAATAAAATCAATAAAATCACAGTTTAGGATATATCATTTCTTAAATAACTTTTTTTTCATAGCAGCAGTCAGTCAGCTAGAAAACTGACTACAGCAAAATGAACTAGCTGTAAAAAGATAAATCAGAACTAATGCATTCATATCAGTCAAAGATCCCTCCTGCTGGATAGTCCCAAAATTTCTGCTGGTTTTTTTTTCTAAAGAAGAATGTACTGGTCAATATGTTTAATATAAACTCCTTCAATATCATTCCTAATTAAAATTTTAAAAACACTTAAGGTTAAGACATATACATGGAATTCAGTGTTAATTCTAGGATTCGAAAAAACTTGGGGGATTTTTATCGAAAATTGAGAATTTATTACATTTGTTGATCTTTTTCCTTCTTTCCCTATGTACAATTTTCCCCCTGCCTCTGAAAAAATAGGGGGGAATTCTCAAAATATGGGTGAATCCCCCTATTCCCCCTCCTAGAATAGACACTGGGAATTTTTGAAATAACAACAATTTGGAATCTTACCAAGAACCCAGCTGCTATAATCCATATTACACTCACAACCGACAGCGTATTTAATATGTTATCCATCTTCCTATCGTTACTCTGACTGCCTGTTCTACAAACATATAAAAAGAAAATGTTATTGTTAACAGAACCATAATCATAATAAAAGTATGATTATCAATGTACATATCATTATGCTGGTGCAAAAGTTAGTTAACCTTTATGAATAAATTTAATAGCAGTTAACCTGTTACAATAAGGTGACAATGTATATTACATGTATATTCATTTTTTTTCCCTGTTAAAAATACTTAACAGCTCATTATTTGAGGGAAAAGGTGTGTAAGCCGTTGGAGAGCTCAGTTGGTAGAGCTGCAGAAAAGTATTCCAAGGGTCCCGGGTTTGAGTCCCAGTCTGACAGGCTGCACATTTTTCATTCCCTCTGCCTATGACAATAAAGATAAACAAAAATTATCATTCATCATTATTACAACTTTCTTTTTTTTGCTCCTCAAAAAGTCACATGTTTTATATCTGCCGTTGTCATAGTCATCAGCACCAGAAGTCACTGACACATTTATTGACAGGTAAATGTATATACATACCGAAAAGCATACATCGATTATAGATAAAATTGACTTGATTATTCCAACAGATAGTTTGTTTCTTTTTGATAATTATTAAATTTAGGGATGTTGCCATTGTTGGGGGAATGGATGTATGACACAATTATACCTCAATCCTGAACTTTTGGCTAGCCATACAGGTATATAGCCACTTCCTTTTTATCGCCTGGTAGTCTAATTAATTTGTCATGAACGGTTAGACCCATATCGGTTTCTTTTTTTTTTCCTACCATCAAAAACCATAGGAAAAGACACAGCTCGTCTCTGTGTCTCTTAAAGTGGACTTAACAGCAGGCTTGACTGCACATTAACATTGCATTTCCTGGTCTGGCACATGTTTTTCGTTTAACTTTATAAAATGGGAAATGTTGCACTTAGCGACACAATTTAAACAAGTGCATAAATTTTGCACAAGAGAAAATGTGTCAGATAAAATAACATAATAATTTGGCTCAGGGTGACAGGTGAAGGGTCGGTAAAATACTTAACCAGCGTTAAACTGCTTAAGAATAACATTGAACCTGTGACATGGTAAGGTTATCTATCAGACAATTATTGAACAGCTCTCAAATTATCTTACCTATATTAGTGTAAAACCTGAATACGTTACATTTGTTTAAGCTTGGTCAGATAAACATCTCCGAAGAAAAACAAAAATCAGGCTTTGAGGGAAATACAGTCTACACAGTTTTCAAGCGTTCTTGAGTCACATTCACAGTCAAACCCCAACAAAAATGCCTCAGTCTGTAATCATACACCTGAAATAAATGCATTTCTTAATTAATATAATGAATATACAATTACTTGTCCTACTCCTAGTTTACTGGTTTTCCATTGTTTTTGTCGCGAAAATTAATGACAAACAAGATTGCATTTGAGAAAAATGCTATGCCACCGCATTAATACAACACTAAATAGTAGTGTAGGAACATATTTTTTTTGTTTCTATACAATTGAAGATTGTCATAATGCATAGATCCCTGACCTATCTAATTCTTATTATCAGATTAGTGATTAAATCTATAGTTAATCAAATAAAAGATCAGAGCAGGAATATATCAATGCACTTGAGTCTAGTGAATTTGGTGGTGAAGGTCATATTTCACGCAGCCTAAATTTCATGACTACATCAAAGGACAACACAGTAAGACTCTTTGTCAAAATCTAGGTAAGCTGATATCAAAGTCCACTTTACATCTTAATCTGTGCACATGGTTCAAATTTCATAGCTGTAGATCAAAGCACAAGAAAGTAGGTCACATTATCAAAATCTAGGTCACCTGATATCAAAGTTCAATTTTACAACTAAAACTGTGCACATGGTCAAAATTTCATTGCTGTACATCAAAGGACAAGAAAGTAGGTCACTGTCCCATTGGTCAAGGCAAAATTTTGACCCAAGGGTTTAAATCAAAACAATCTTGATACAGGTCCACCAAACAACATTTCAAGTAAAATATCTAAGCTGAAGCTTTCTCCCATTCAGAAAACATATGTTTTATTTTCTGTTTTTACTATGTGTACATAATGAGAATCATGCCCCCGGGCAGGGCCAGTTTTGACACCAGGGGAAAAATTTGAATAACTTTGGTAGAGGACCTATAGATGATATTATATAGCAAACATGAAAGCTCTATGCCTTGTACCTTCAGACAAAAATATTTTTTATTTTTTTACTAGATATACATAATGTAAATCAATGACCCCCGGGGCAGAACCAATTTTGACCCCAGGGCTAAAATTTGAACAATCTTGGTAGAGGTTCACTTCGCAAAGTCTCATGCCATATATTTAAACTCTAGCCTTTGTCAATTCAGAAAAGAAGATTTTTCAAGTTTTTACTTTATACATATAAGGAAATCTAGCGCCTCTGGGGCAGGGCAATTTCAACACTAGGGGCATAATTAAAACAACTTTTAGTAGAGGACCCAAAGATGATATTATATACCAAATATTAAAGCTTTAAGCCTTGTACCTTCAGATAAGAAGATTTTTTAATTTTTTACTCTATGTTCATAGTGAAAATCAATGACCCCTAGGGGTGGGGCCAATTTTGACCCAAGGGCTATAATTTGAACAATCTTGCTAGAGCTTCACTACACAATGTTTCATGCAAAATATCTTACTTCTAGCATTTGTCAATTACTAGAAGATTTTTTTTAAAGTTTTTACTGTAAGTTTTTACTATATACATATAAGGATAACCAATGACCCCTGGGGCAGGGTCGATTTTGACCCCAGGGCTATAATTTGAACAATCTTGGTAAGGGTCTACCAGACAATGCCTTATGCAAAATATCTAAGCTCTAGCCCTTTTGGGTCTTTACAAGAAGGTATTTTAAGTTTTTACTATATGTACATACAGTGAAAATCAATGACCCCCGGGGCGGGGCCCATTTTGACCCCAGGGCTATAATTTGAACAATCTGGGTAGAGGTCTACCAGACAATGCCTTATGCAAAATATCTAAGCTCTAGGCCTTTTGGGTCTTTACAAGAAGGTATTTTTAGTTTTTTACTATATGTACATATAGTGAAAATCAATGACCCCTGGGGCGGGGCCGATTTTGACCCCAGGGCTATAATTTGAACAATCTTGGTAGAGGTCTACCAGACAATGCCTTATGCAAAATATCTAAGCTCTAGGCCTTTTGGGTCTTTACAAGAAGATTTTTTAAATTTATTCTTATAATTCCTTTCGGTTGCCATGGCAACCAGATTTCTGCATGGAATGAAATTCTTTGAACAACTTTGGAAGCCCTTCACCCAAGGATCAATCCTGCCAAGTTTGGTTTAAATTGGACTAGTGGTTTTTCACAAGAAGATTTTTTAAGTTCACTATATAATCTATATAACACACACACACACAAACAAACACACACACAGGTGAATCGCTATATGCCACCGCATCGCAGATGCTGCGGTGGCATAAAAAAGCGAATGATGGCCTACTTGAAAATTATGAAAAATATATCAATTTTAATAATTATAATCACATGCTACATTGTTTCTTCATTCTTAAACAATGCACAATCTGAAAATTAAATCCAAACAAGGAGTTATGCACCTCATTTTGACTATTCAATTTTTATGTCTTCCTACCGAAAAATGAAGGGGAGATCACTGCGTTAGCTCAAACTCCGACGCAGTGGTCCCCCTTTGCTTCGCGGCGCAAAGTTGACATGTATCTCGTGCGCACGAGACAGAACAGGATCCAGAAATTTTGTATAGGGGGGGGGGGGGGGTTGGGGGATGTACGGAGGGGGCGACCCTCTTCTGTAGGGAGGGGTAGGGAAGAGGGGGAGGCCCTAGAAAATTTTCTGGAATGGTGGAGTACCGTGTGCCGTAGATCTAAATGGCTTATTTTTGTGTATTTTATGTGAGAAATTGTTTCAACACAACCTTTTTCCTTATTCTTATATTAGGCCGATAACTGATCCTCTACGAGTGTGTTATGATACAATGTGTCACAATTTAGACTGATCTAAATATTAGTATCATATTTGAAATATGCTGTTTCATTGAATTCTAACTGATAGTATGAATACATTGTATATGAACTTGAATATAAAGATATTTTGAAAAAAATAATTAATTCTTAACACAGCAATGCGCTTTCAAAATATGTGTATATTTAGGTTCGAGTGTATGGAAGGGTATTAACGCAAAAATTACATCTTGCTTTCTTACGTTACATCGTGCTTTCTTACTTGTACATCTTGCATTCTGACTGGGACATACTTCCTACGTCAGCATATCGTAAAAGTCAAATTATCAAAGTTTGGTTTAGAAACCCACGAAAATATAGACATATCGATAGAAATTTATGTATATGTTATCGTATGTCCCAGATTCTGACTTGAACATCTTGCATTCTGACTTTTACATCTTGCTTTCTTGCATGCACATTATGCTTTCTGCTGTGCGAGTCTTGCTTAATTGTATGTTGATATCGTTATTCAACTATCAATAATTATAGTTATATATAACTTCATTTCAAAACACGAAATTTTCATGCTTCGGACATTTTGTTATTTTAGAGACTCTCAATAGGGTTTTGCAGGTAAGAAAAAAATAATTATTAAAGCATAAAATTGTACATTTCTAGCACAATGTCTAATTTTTCGATGGATAACATGATATTTGATAGTAAAAGTAGTAATTTAAGTAAGATATAAGCCTCATACTGACCAATAAGTAAAATATTGAATTCCCCTCGGCGCTACGCGCCTCATGAAATTCAATATTTGACATATTGGACAGTTTTCGGCTTATATCTACTACATATATTAGTTACTTTCGTCTTGTCGCTAGTGAAGCACGCCAAATGGCGCGTTGTCGTGCGGCGTGTTGTCGCGATGTCGCTCAAATCAAAGCATTGGCTTATAAAGATTTGTAAGCCGTTGGAGAGCTCAATTGGTAGAGCTGCGGAACAGTATTCCAAGGGTCCCAGGTTTGAGTCCCAGTCAGGCTGGACATTTTTCTCTCCCTCTGCCTATGACATTAAGATAAACAAAAATTATCATTCATCATTATTACAACTTTCTTTTTTTTGCTCCTCAAAAAGTCACATGTTTTATATCTGCCGTTGTCATAGTCATCAGCACCAGAAGTCACTGACATTTATTGACAGGTAAATGTATATACATACCGAAAAGCATACATCGATTATAGATAAAATTGACTTGATTATTCCAACAGATAGTTTGTTTCTTTGATAATTATTAGATTAAGGGATGTTGCCATTGTTGGGGGAATGGATGTATGACACAATTATACCTCAATCCTGAACTTTTGGCTAGCCATACAGGTATATAGCCACTTCCTTTTTATCGCCTGGTAGTCTAATTAATTTGTCATGAACGGTTAGACCCATATCGGTTTCTTCTTCTTTTCCTACCATCAAAACCATAGGAAAAAGACACAGCTTGTCTCTGTGTCTCTTAAAGTGGACTTAACAGCAGGATTGACTGCACATTAACATTGCATTTCCTGGTCAGGCACATGTTTTTCGTTTAACTTTATAAAATGGGAAATGTTGCACTTAGAGACACAATTTAAACAATTTCATAAATTTTGCACAAGAGAAAATGTGTCAGATAAAATAACATAATAATTTGGCTCAGGGTGAACAGGTGAAGGGTCGGTAAAATACTTAACCAGCGTTAACTGCTTAAGAATAACATTGAACCTGTGACATGGTAAGGTTATCTATCAGACAATTATTGAACAGCTCAAATTATCTTACCTTTATTAGTGTAAAACCTGAATATGTTACATTTGTTTAAGCTTGGTCAGATAAACATCTCTGAAGAAAAACAAAAATCAGGCTTTGAGGGAAATACAGTGTACACAGTTTTCAAGCGTTCTTGAGTCACATTCACAGTCAAACCCCAACAAAAATGCCTCAGTCTGTAATCATACACCTGAAATAAATGCATTTCTTAATTAATATAATGAATATACAATTACTTGTCCTACTCCTAGTTTACTGGTTTTCCATTGTTTTTGTCGCGAAAATTAATGACAAAAATAGCGAAATGATGCCCTAGGTGAAAATTATGAAAAACATATTAATTTTAATAATTAGAATCATATGCTACATTGTTTTTTCCTTCTTAAACAATGCACAATCTGAAAATTAAATCCAAACAAGGAGTTATGCACCTCATTTTCACTATTAAATTTTTATGTCTTCCTACCGAAGAATGAAGGGGAGATCACTGCGTTAGCTCAAACTCCGACGCAGTGGTCCCCCTTTGCTTCGCGGCGCAAAGTTGACATGTATCTCGTGCGCACGAGACAGGACCGGATGCAGAAATTTTGTATGGGGGGGACTTGGGGAATGTACGGAAGGGGAGACCCTCTTCTGTAGGGAGGGGGAGGGAAGAGGGGGAGGCCCTAGAAAATTTTCTGGAATGGTGGAGTACCGTGTGCCGTAGATCTAAATGGCTTATTTTTGTGTATTTTATGTGAGAAATTGTTTCAACACAACCTTTTTCCTTATTCTTATATTAGGCCGATAACTGATCCTCTACGAGTGTATTATGATACAATGTGTCACAATTTAGACTGATCTAAATATTAGTATCGTATTTGAAAAATGCTGTTTCATTGAATTCTAACTGATAGTATGAATATATGAACTTGAATATAAAGATATTTTGAAAAAAATAATTAATTCTTAACACAGCAATGCGCTTTCAAAATATGTGTATATTTAGGTCCGAGTGTATGGAAGGGTATTAACGCAAAAATTACATCGTGATTTCTTACTTGTACATCTTGCATTCTGACTGGGACATACTTCCTACGTCAGCATATCGTAAAAGT